AGGAAAAGGTATTTGGTGAAATACAGCAAGGGTACAGTCATTGGAAAACATTTTTAACCAGGTATGTGGAGTAAAATTTGTGTTTCCTTCGGTGTGTAGCCCTGTTGCCATGGTTACTAGTCTCCGTATGCACGAGACCCCTCTTTGCAGGAGCCAGGGCAGAAGCTCAGCGGGGAGGCAGAGGGAGGGACCAGAATGTTGTACTACCCAAATGCACCCAATTCTCAAAGCTACAGACTCCAGCCTTAAAGGTGAGTAAATCTGCAGGTCGACAGATGACTTAAACACAGATGAAGGATGACAGGCACTCAGGGAAATTGTTCTTCACAGGCAAACTCACAAATTAGCAGTCTCTCCCCAGAGGTGGTTAATGCAGACATAAAAAAAACAAGAACTCATAAATGACTCTGCTTCACAGGTAACTTAAAACTTTATATGTTCACTCAAATAACACACTCTCTCCTTTATAGAGTTAAACATGCTCAGATTGGTTGATTAGAGGATAAAAAATAACAGCATACAAATAAAAGTCTGTCTTTAATCAGTTCATACCCCAGTTGCAGGAGGTTTTACAGTAGGTAGAGAAGTTCAAGCAAAATCAACAAAGTGAAGTGACATAAAGACACTAAAGAATAACTAACCAGGGTGAAAATAATAATAGAGCTGAAGTGACATGGGTGTAAGTTGACAACACACTGACTGGGTGAGGTGAAGTGATTATAAAGGCAGGCCAGGCAGAGACAACAAGGAACAGGAGCCAGTAATTGAGGTCAGTCAGGGGCAGAGTCAAGCTGGGGCTGGTGAAGGTGGCATGAGACAGGAAATGGAAATAAAAGTCCAAAACAGGACATGGCCAGGAAATCACAACAACCAATGAAGTTTGTCAGAAGTGAGGCTAATTATTTATAATTATTTGTGTTTTTATGTTAATATAATTGCTGTGTTTAAAAAACATTCTGTATTTCCATAAGTGGGGTAAAACTATGGAATAATTTAAGTGTGGACATAAAAAATAGTAATAGAATTGATGTGTTTAAACATAAATATAAAGGTATGTGTCAATCAATATATATGCAAGAACAGGTTTAATGATTAATTAGGTGGAACATTGTGGGTGTAGTGTAAGAATGTTAACACTATGTAATAATTCTTGAGAATATTACTTGTGTGGTGTAGAAGATAATTATCTAAGAATGTAATTATGTAAGAATGTTAACAATCTGTAATAATGTTTTAGTAGATTACTTGTGTGGTGTAGAACAAAATTATCTATGTAGAGATACTGCTTGCAAACCAATGTTGGTAAGATGATGTTATGGGGTAGGACTGGATAAGTCTAACTTCTTCCTACCCATTCAAGCATGTACTAGGTATAAGTAAATTGAAAATGGATTAGCATTTGTGGATATGTGTGAAATTATGTGTGTTGACATATCGACTGTCTTTACATGCTTGAAAGAATAAATCAAATCAAATCAAAAATGTTAACTGAGTGAGAAGGCGCCTGTGCTTTAAAGTTAAACTCATGGTTTTTGGACAACATGCAGTTCATTTCTCTACCTGTGAAGCTAACTTTGAATATAGGGAATGTGAATTTGTAGTCATGCCGTGTTGAATTTTGGGTAAATGCACCATTTTGGGAGCATCATGCTCATTGTCATTCATAGATATATACAATACATACATTAACTTTGAAAAAATAAATACAATCCCACTACTACTATCAGCTACATATAGTAGCAGATTGTTCAATCACATCCAAACGTTAACTTTAGTATTCAGTTTGAGCACAGACAGGACAGAAATCAATTCATCTGCAGTGTTTGTGTTATCTGCCGATAGGTGTTAGCTCCAGAAGATGAAATCAGGGTGCACAGTAATTTTTCAGTCTTTTGCTCTTGTTGCTCTACGAGTTAGCTACAGTCAGCTCCAGTTAGCTAGTTATCCATTCTGTATTACCACAGTCACTAAAGTGAAAACTAAATGATTTACACAACTTTTTAGCCAAACAACACAAGAATGTATGCAGGTAAATACAGTGCCTCCTCCCAAAATGGCACCCTGTCCCAACATTCAATACGATGTGACGCACCTTCATTTATAATGAATGCTGCTAGTTGTCAATTAGCTGACAGAGATGGCTATCAAAGGTGCTGTGTGAATAAAAATATAGGCTAATGTTATAACATTACAGGGGCATGTTAGAGCTACAGATTCACCAGAAAACAACAATTTCATGGATCTCTAGCAAGCTAAAAATAGATACATTGTTCAACTATTATATTATACATTTGCATTTTAAAAGAGACTGTTGGCGTGACCTGACTGGAGAGAGAAATTCATAGTAGAAACCCTGATGTGTTATAACAATTCATACAGCAAATGTACATTTTCCACATTTCTGTATTAATAGATGTATCTTTTCAAAGGTAAATTGATTCATGTAATACCACTTGGAATCTTAAAGACCGTCAGAACAGTGACATAAGAATTCAAGTGTTTTTTTCAGTATCTCATTCCCCTGCACATGCACATACTGCCTGTCGTCATCATTCAGTGTCAGCCCTCACAGACCATAAAAATAAACAGAGGAAAACCACAACAGTCAGTGGAGAAACAAAGATGTTTCACTTTTGTTGTTGTTATGTACAAGCTTCTGTTCAAGCCAACTGGAAGGACCACACGTTAAACTGCGCAGTGTTTGATGGAATTAATTTGACCATTGCACAAATGACATTACTGTTGTTATTCTTGTAATATGTGGCTCATGTTTCAGTTAAATCTGCTCATGTGTGGAAGTTTAGGACCTCAGTGATGTTAAAATTTGGTTCTGGATACATGTCACTTACAAATATGAATGCGATTGTGTCAAAAAAATATCAGATCTCACAATAAAATTAAAATTGAGCATTAAGGCCTGTAATGTGAATGTTGGTGAAAAAATAAGCGCTGTTTATCATACCTCAGAAGAAGAGTATTATAAGCTTCCCAAACATAACTCACTGACCCTTATAAATGAGTGCAATGCTCTGCCACCACTCCATCATTAGAGAGAAAGAGCCTGGCAAGCGAAATGTGAACAACTGAAGAATTATGGTCCCAGTTGGCCAGAGATGTAAACGGACAGTATGGCAGTTTGGCTTCTCTCAGTGGTTGCAGATGGCAGCCAGAGACACGAGGGTCAATGTTCTGTCTGTGCCCCGCCAAAAATACCCATCCTGGGTGGGAGGCTCCATCTTCACCTGCCTTAGCAGATTTCAGCACATGTGGGTGAGGAGGCAGCAGCGTTCGGAGGAGGAATCCAGTTCTGTTTACAGGAGGTGACAAAACAGAGATAGCTCTTACTTATGCGTTATTTTATGCTATGCAAGAATTCAGTTTAAAACTGAAGAATTGGCAATGATAATGCATCCAGAACTGTTATTAAAAAACATTTTAATGTGACTCCAGTTTCTCTCGTAGCAAATTGTTTCTTTTTTCTTTTGATTTCATCGCTGTGAACATATGTGGGGCATAGTACAGTATCTGTCACACTGAGGGAAAACCATCTGCTCTCTGAGTATCCAGTGTCTCAGTCCATGAGCATTTACTGTTTTCAGTTCAGAGTTGCATGTAGGTATACATTTTCCGCTTATGCTTCATTTGTAGTATGCGTGGACATGTGGGCCTTGCAGGGTTTGGCTAATCACAGAATGTTAGTGCAATTTCATCTGCAACAACAATCAGAAAAGGCTTGATTTGGCAGTTTAAACACTTGTTTCACCCCAACTGCAAACAAACATATTTTCTCATATCCATTTCTGCCACCACCCAGTACATAATGTCACTGGAAGCATTTTCTATTGAAGAAATACTATCTAGAGTAACATCCAGACACCTTTTCTGGAAAGAGGTGTTGCTGTTGAGTTTTTTAAGTCAAAATTTCCAAAGCTCAGGTTTCATTCACCTCCAGTGTAAGAAGAAATTTCAAAATCTATCTCAGAATGTATCCCAAAACCTTTACAACCCTTAAATTACCAGTAGTTTTAGGTGAGAAGAATTTCTTTTCAAGTGTGGGTGAACCAACCATCTAAGCAAGTCTGGGTGATTTGACTGACAGTCTTATGAGAAACACCTCTACAAACTATTATACATGCTGTCATTTATAGCACGCTCATAAGCAGATCAACATGAGTGCTTTTTATGAGGTGATGGTTCAATGTTTGTCTCAAGGACCTCAGAACAAATGGCTGTTAATGGAAGGTTTTGGAGACCAGGAATGAGCTGGTCTGTTTAAACCAGTAGGCCACTCATCGGTCAGACACAAGCAGATGGGGTTGGTAATTTGGTCTTTCTGATAAAACACAAAATGACACTCTGGAGTTATAACAATCTATGTCTAAAACTGTGGAGTCTGGTGTGTGCCACTGTAATAATAATGATCATAATAATAATGTAATTTAATTGGCCAATAAATAATTTCTAGTCCTTATTCAGTCTTTAAAAGATATTATTTTATCAATTGCAGTGCACAGAGCAGCTGCAGAGGCTTTGACAGGCCACCTGCTCCTGTTGCCAGCAACACCACATTGATTGGATTAATATCAAATAATGCTTTGGCCCATCCCTTCACCCTTCCATTTTTCAAAAATGCTTATGCCTTTTATTTGGAACCTGTAGTTGAAAATGATGTACTGATGTAATAATGTACTGCTATATGAATTCAGGTTAACAATTAGACTTTCATGTTACACTGTAAGTTCTCCTGCAGTATATGATATTCGCAATTTCCATGGGTTTACTGAATTTACTGGGGGTTTTTAAAGTTAAATTTCAGGATTCATATCTGTCTAACCAGGGTGTTATTATTTTATTTGAAATGGTGGGTTAAATGACAGTGGGTGCAGGTGCATCTTTCACCATGTGTTCGTTTAGCAGAGCCCCGAGGCTGTGGTCTATAAAAAAAACAGTGTGATCAGTGGGTAAAGACATGAACTTGCTCAGACGTGTCTCTGACCCTTCTCCCGTGTGCGCTGTCCTATCCGCTGTGCGCTCTGGATAATGTCCTCCCCCCTCCTTCGCTCCGCTCTCCTCCTCACCGCGCAGAGCTCGACGCGCACAGCCACAACAGATGGTACAGTACTACCGACCGCAGGAGCGCAAGAATTTCATGTAGAAGTACTTTTATTTATCTAAACTTCATAGAAACGTTTAGTATAGCGGGAGTAGGGAGCGGGTTTTCCGAGGACAAACTCGAATTTGAGAGTCACAGGATCCTACGTTTAGAGGCGGAATTTGGTGTCAGGGTAAGTTGTGATGTTTTCTGTATAGCTGAACCAATGAAGTCGGAGCAGAATGCACAGAAAAAGCTTATAATGCGATGTCCTAAAGATTTTCTCCTTTTGTTGATGCATTTATTATTTATAACACTAACCCTAACAGTTTAAGGTTCTTACATAATATGTGACAGAATGAAGAATAAAAGACTTTTGAAATAGTGCCTCTGCATCAACTGACCCACCAATAGAGCTGCAATTAAATGGATTTTATATTATCTGGGCAAGGATTAATTAATTTTATTTAAAGTTGCAGATTTAAACCTGAAACCTACAGAAACGTTTCTGAAATTTGACATCAATCATAAATCCAGTGAGGTGTTTAATCTGAATATAATTAGCAAATTTCACAGTTACATTGGGTACAAATGTGGTTATAAATTAAGAATGAACAGAAAACAACTGATCTCTTCATTCTGCATTCTCATTTTAGAAGAGTCAAATCAATTCATTTTTATTTGTATAGCCAAAATATCACAAATGGCAAAATTTACAGTCTGTACAACATAGGACACCCTCTGTCCTTAAACCCTCGAATCAGATAAGGAAAAACTTCTCCCATAAACCCTTTAATCTGAGCAGTGTATTCTATTCTAGGAGTTTATTTTAGCACTCCCTCAATGGCTCCACAGGCATACTTAAGTGCTGATGCTGCAACTCTGTGCTGATGCTGTTGCCACAACAGTGAGTAATATATAGACTAGTGTAATGATCATTTTACCTGACTAATGTTGAGTGTCCCCCTCCCCTGTGAAAAATCAGGACAGACAGTGCCATGTCAAAGATCAGTAATACTGTATGACATTCTGTCTCTTGTGGTTTCTCATCTCTTGTGAGAGGACGCTTAAACCAGGGCAACTCTTATTATTGCTCAACAGGGGCTCTAGATATGCATGTCATAGATGTAAGTAGGGCTTATCTAAAAATTGAAAACCCTTTTTTACTTTTTGAGGGTAATGGTCATCAAATACTACTTTTTTTTAATTCAAAACACATGTCCATGTACTGTAGACTAACCTTTTGAGCATATGCCCTATTCCACTATAAAGGCTTGAGTTCATAGGGGATAACTCATGCTGCCACCAGCATGTACTGTATAGATTAGGCTTTTTACCATAACAACCTTTGAGACACTGACACAAATACTTCTGAACTGTGGTCTACTCTGTGCCCCAGAAGAACATCAGAGAGCTGTGATGTTCAGTTTTAGGATATTACCAAGACTCTGTAATCAAGTCTCAATCTATCTCTTGACACCCATTATTATGAATTTAGTATAAGTTCAGCTCTGCACCATTAGCAGCCCAGGAACCCAGCTGAGCCACACACTCAAATTCACACAAGGGGTAGAAAGTCCACCATGGAAGCATATCCTCAAGAGACTGATGCTATACAGTTCTTTAAAGCCATAGAGGAGAAGCGATGCGTGCTAGGTCACCAGTGAGCTGTACGTAATGATTTGTTCAATCCCAGAAGAGGTCCAGACCTGCGTTGGACCCCAGGCGGCCCCCTTGGCAGCAGCAGCAGCAGCTACAGGAAGGCACAGCAGATTAACACATAGCCCCGCGATTTGTACACAATGAGATCTCTGGGGAGAGCTACTCCAACTTTGTGTCGTATCCGCACTTGTATCCACATTCTGTATGAGATGTAGGCATGACAGAGAACCCTGGAAATGTGAGGATTGCTTTGAATCTGTGACAGCATACCTACAAATTTGCTAATACCAGTGAAATAATAAGGATAATAATGCTGAATGACATAAATAACTAGCATAAATAAATAATGGCAGAGCACAGCAGGCTCGCCTAAATAGCTGTGAGGTTAATTTTAGTAAGCCTGCTCATTCAAATGTTTTTATTTTATTCAGATCTATGCTTTCTCTAGAAGTACATCCCAATATGCAGTCTTTTTATGACTTTCTGCCTTTAGTGCATTACAGCACATGCTGCGCAATGCAAGTGTCTTTTGTCTTGATGATATTATGAATAATTTTTTCTCTTCTTTGCATTTATTTGTGCTCAATAAATTTTTATGGGCCCTTTGAGAGTCCTCTGCCACTAATGCGCCTGTGCAAGAGCCACACACTAAACTAACTTCACCACCACTACAGTACGTTCACACTGTGGCCTTAATACTCAGATTTGATCTTTTTGTCAGATCCAATTTTTTTGTTGATGGTTCATGTTTGTAAGTGACAAACACCGTTGAGGTCAAGCATGCACAAATTTAACTGTAAGCTTCTCCTTAAATGTTCAACAAAAGTGACATATCTTCATCTCTCCACTGAGCTCCACTTTCTGCTGCTCTCCTCCATATTAATTTTTACTGGTTTGTGGCTGACACTGAATGATGGCGATGTTTAAAAATCCACACATGAATTCCGATGTGAAAAGATCTGATTTGGTTTGTTCACACATCCATGAAGAGATCAGATCTGAGTCACTTGGAAAGATCTGAGTTACTTCAGCATGTAGTCTGAATGTAGCACATGTGCTCTTACACAGTCAAAGAGTGCAATGTTCTGAACGGTGATACTGGGGCACATACTGTATTGGTATGTACTGCAGTGATGATACTATATCATGTGGAAAGATTATTTATTATCCGAGATAATCATTTATCACAAACACTCTGGTCTAAGAAGTGGAGGCTGATGCTTAACAGAGATGTTTCCTTGTTTGTCCATTTTGCTGTTAGTTTACTCAGGGTTTTTGTGTCTACCTGGGAGGGCAGATTCATTTTCATTAGATCAGTACAAGACAATAAGAAAAGGGAGGAATTTAATGATTTATGTCAGATACAACATCCCACAACTGTGGAACGGTTGCATCTAAAGTATTAAGGTAGGACTGGCTCTTTCTTTGGGAACTGTTGCGTGTGGACTGTGACTGTAGTCTCTTGCGTTGAAGAGCAGAATCAAAAGCATGTGGATACTCAGCCACTGCAGTGGATGACTGTTGTTCCAACTTTACAAAACGCACATGTGAGGTATCTGAAGTATACTCAGTGAACCACCAAACATATAAAAAGCTCCATGCAGCACAGAAGAAATGATTGAGATACATGCTTAGTCATTAGAAAAAAAAAAATCCAGCCATCATGGAGATGTATTCCATTTCACAAATATGTTGTGCAAATATGCATACTGTATGATGCTCGAAAACCACATCTTGTAAGTCAACAAAATAAATCAGGTAGACATTCCCTTCCACATACTGTATATAAAGTGATGCCAGCATCATCTCTGATTCAGGGGGGGGCGATATTTTAGTTAACAAGCTCCATTCGATTGCCTCACTGGTTTTACTGCTGCTGTTCACCCATCAAACCAAACAAGAAAAAAAAAGTGACACCATAACATCAGAGACTAACTGTAGCAACACATGGGTTATTTTTGAAGCTGTGCAAAAGCTCACTCCATTAACACCAGATCAATATCCTGTTGTGAGAAGTGAGTGAGAGTAAAATGAAGAGGATACTTGAGCAAATACAGTAAATCCTGTAGAGATACCTACAGCAGCCGTGCCATGTAGCATCTGACATTAAGCAGTTAATCTCAGCATGAAGAGGGAAGATGCTCACAGAGAAAATGTTGTTATTAATTACAGTATGTGCCTGCCTCAGCGCAAACCCTAATTAAGACCACCTTCTATCTGTTTACACACTCCACAGTGGTTTGCAATCAATATTATTGATATGGTATTTTTACATTCTGGCTTACCCTCAATCAGCTTTTGAATAAAGTAGATTCTCAAAAACCATTTCTGCATGGTCATTTGGAAAGAAGGACAAAGCACACGATAAGTGCAAAGCCCCTAACATGTCCTATATATTAATATATATACAGTCATGCCCCCCCCCCTGCATTTATATCAGATAATTCACCACTTTTCCCACAAAATAGAAGCAATCACTAATTCTTTGGTATTCCCATGTTTATTTCTATTGTTTGCATCAGAACAACACAAAAAAATAGGAAATCTTTTTTTGGTTGTACGTATAGCATGAATTTTAAAATTTAACTGACCCCTTAAATTATATCCCCCTTCCCTTTCATTAAATTGTTTTTGAATTCCACCAGGTAATAAATTGTTCTTGGCTTTATACATAAACACAGCAGTCTTATATCCCACTAAATCAAAAAATATTAACAATTTAGACTGTATGAAAGCTACATTGGTGTGATCCCTGTACCCCATCTTATGCACAATTCTTATCGCTCTTTTTTGTAATATATACAATGGTTGAAGTGAGCTTTTGTATGTATTTCCCCAGTTTTCAACGCCATACTCTAAGTAT